ATCAACAGAAACCTCTGAAACGTTGCGATTTCACATATTTTCTGTTGCTTAAAGTTATCTGCATCACACAAGTCCGTGTTTCTCATTTATGTCGGTTTATCAGTCCGTGTCTGTTGTATATCAATGCGTCATAAGTACTAAGTCAATCTACTTGACGGAATATTGAGATAATCATTATACGGAGTAACACAAATAAGAGGTTAGGGGAAATGGGTGGATCATAAAATTCAAAAAAATATTTGTGTAGATATAAAAACATTTGTCGTCATTTACAAAAGCATCGCAGACGCTAAAATGATACGTACTCCTAATATCCCAATATTGCTAAAATATATAAATATTTCTCCAGTTTGTTAGCCATTGTACAATCGACACTTGCCTCCACGACGATGCAGCACCGCCAACGATTGCAGTTATTATATACATCTTTTATGTCTTTTTTCATTTAATTTTTCCGTTGTTACCTATTTTTAGTGATAGAACGTCTTTGACTAATACTAAAGACGTTACATTTACAACCCTACAACCCCAAAGTTTCAAGCCCTACAAAAAAGTTTCCGAATTTCGGAACCGTCAAAAAACGAAGTTTATGCGATTTTTATTTTTCTTCGTGTTTTTGCCCCTAGCACCGATTTTGAAAATTTGATCAAAATCCCAGCAATACTTCTCAAGTTATAGGCGGTTATAAAAAGTTTTCGCGATTACAGGACTTTCTCGCCAGTTTTGGCATAAGAAGTAATACTGGTTTGTTGATCTCATGTCGTGGCGTATCTGCTTTATTTTAATGAGTTCTAGGTTCGATTAAGACTGCATGTAATTCTTAATATAATTTTTTGTTATGTTTTTTAAATCACACTTTTTCTTATACAGGGTGCGGCAGAGAGGACGAACGTTTTTGGGATGGGTAGTACTCTCCGCCTCCGTGTACGAGAGAGGTGGGGAGGGTGCCGTTTGACTCGTTTTACCAGTTGTCGCGTTTTCGCCTATGAAATAATGAGTCAGTCATCGTCGTACAGCGTGAGTTTCGTCGCCACTTCAACATTCATCGGAATAGAGCTGTTCCCTCTCGAAACACCGTCCTTCGTTGGGTTGAATCACTTCGCAGGCGTAGTGAACTGATCAACAGAAGACCAAGAGGAGCGCCGCGAACAGTTCGAACTCCTGAAAATGTTGAACGCGTTCGACAGGTCTTTCTTCGCAGTCCGACTCGATCTGCCCGGAAACCTGCTGCTGCACTTCACCTTATTGTTTGTTCGGTAAGGCGAATTTTGCATATGGATCTCCACTTTCACCCCTACAAATTGGCCATTGTGCAACAGTTACACCCCGGAGATTATGCACAACGAATGAACTTCGCACGTGAGATGGAAGCACTGATCGATCAAAATGAGATACTCATTTTGTTTATGAGTGACGAAGCCCACTTTCACCTACACAGCATGGTTAACCAGCAGAATTGTCGTTATTAGGCTAATGAAAATCCGCAACATTTACACGAAAGACCGCTGCACAGCCCAAAAGTAACGGTTTGGGGCGCTGTATCGCAAACTTGCATCATTGGCCCTTACTTCTTCGAAGACAGTAATCGTCGTGATGTTACCGTTACCAGAGCGCTACGTCGACATGATCGTCAACTTCTTTCTCCCTGAATTGCGACGGCGACGTGTTCCAATCCGACGTGTGTAGTTCCAGCAGGATGGGGCGACCGCCCACACAGCCCGAGCATCCATGGACGTTATTCGCCCTCTCTTCCCTGGTCGCCTTATTTCCAGGTTTGGCGATGTTCATCGGCCTCCTCGGTCCCCAGATTCATCCATATGCGATTTTTTCTTATGGGGACACCTCAAGGCTAGAGTATACGCGAACAAGCCCCGAACTCTGGACAAATTAAAGGGCGAAATTCGCGTGGAAGTCGCCCAAGTTGAAGAGAGTCTACGCGAACTTCCAAGAACGCCTCCAGCACTGCATCAACGATTTCGGCCACCACATGCCTGATGTGATTTTCCTCACTTGACCGTCTCAAATGCTATTTCCTTGTGAACCTGATTCCATCAATAAATTTGTTTTCGAGTGAAAATTAACTATTTTATGATTTTGTTAAAACCGTCCATCCTCTCTGCCGCACGCTGTGCATGTCATGCAAATAACGCATCTAGTATTAGTTTTTCACTAACCGTTTAGTGATGCATGATCTATTCATAAAAGTTGAACAGCAATCATTGCGAAAAACATGGGATACACTATGCATTGAGCAGATTTCGTAAAAATAGTTTGTTTTTGACTTTTATTTTCACTGCTTGAAGGATGTCCTCAAGATTACAGCTTGTCCCAAAAAAAGAATATAAGATCGACACTTACAACTACAGACATACAGCTCTGCTTTCTGATACTAGCAAGGTAATGAAAAAGTGCATAAATAGCTATCTCTCATCACGGCTTGATAAGCGTCAGACAGTATGGTTTCCGACACCAGCGACGGGGACCTCCTAGCTTTCGTCACACAACTGTGGAGTAAATTCATCCAGTCTCATGATAGGACTCATATTGTTGTCCTTGATATATTGAAAGCTTCTGATCAGCTGTGGCATGCTGCCGTCTTATGCAAACTGCCATTACGGTTCTAACATTGCTTCTATTACAAATCAACGACCTCCTGTCCCGTACAATCAATCCGACCTACAGCTTTGCTGATGACAGCACTCTACATGCAGGAATTCAGAGTGCCAGGCCCATCTCTGCCGGTGAGCTGGACTAGCAGCGACTTCCTGGCGAGAAAGCTGGCGATTATTACTGGTTGGGGACTCTACAATCTGGTATACAGTGGACCCCCGATAATCCGGCCTCTGTCTAATCCGGCGCCCCCTGTAATCCGACATGTCTTTGAATATGTATTACATACATACGTATTTGACAATCTTCCCTAATGTAGATCACGCAGGTTTGAACAGGTTACAACTTGTACGCGCCACCGCTATCGTGCTCGACGTGTAAGCATTGTTTTACTTAGTTTGAATTTGACTACTGGTGATAGCGGTACGGCCTAGCGTGCGTTCATTGTTTATTATTTATTCATTGTGTAATAAGTATAGTACCTAGTAATGTCATCACAAACTCAGAAGCGAAAGCACAAAACATTGACAATTAAAGAAAAATGTGAATTGAAAGTTGAATTATTTTCTCGCGATAGGTTACATAATGAGGTTAGCTCCAGATTCATATGTGATTCAGCAGCAACAGCATCAGCAGTTTGAAAAGTTGTGTATCATCAGCGTATGCCTGGATTTTGCAATTTTTGTCACTATCCAAGATCTCCGCAGAGTATATAATACAAAAGGATGGACTAAGAATATATATTGCTTTATAATTTAAATAATATGCTTTGTCACAGCATTAGAAGTTAAACTTTCCAATTTTTTTACATTCCAAGAATATTCAAAAAAAATATTGAAAGTAAGCTTACTCAACATGCTATGAATCAATTTCTAGCTTTTAAGCACTCCTGTTACTCGGAGGATGTATTCTGAAGTCTGTATAGGAAGAAAGGCGATGGGCCAAGATAACAGCACTGGGCCCCGTGTACGTCCTTTCCAGGGATCGCTCAAAGTTGGATCGTCAGCCACCCAGACTAAAAAATGGCGTCAATTAGGTTGACTGTGCACTTCACACGCAACGTCGTTCCCCAAATGTATGGGGAAAAGCTCAAAAAGATAATTTTATAGGGGTAGAGGAGCATAGGGTAATGGGAGCCTACTAAGTGAAAACTTTCATAAAAACACATTTATTAACTTTCTTATAATTTTTAGTAAGGAACTGTTAGAATAATCATACAGGTATGTTTTTATCATCATTAGGAGTAATTACAGTCATGTATTAAGGTACAATACCGATTCTACAAAAAAAAGTCAATCGCTTCCATTAACCGACACGTGAAGGTAATGGGGAGCCCATTTCAAGCTCATATGGGAACTGGGAGCCATAATATTTAGTATTGCGCAAAAGTTAAGCTAAACATACTTTAAGTGTGATCTTGTCATTGTAACATAAATGAAAAAAAAATAATTTTTAAACAAAAACAAGAAAAATAAAAAAAACAATTATTAAAGAAGAACCAAGATTTTACGAATCCAAACAAAATGTACAAATATAAGAAGCTGGACTATCACTTCCAGAGCATTCTTCATGGGCCCAGTTTCCGCAACTTCTGCATCGGTACCACATCTCCCCACTTGTCCCGTGCCTAAACCAATTGCACATAAAGTTTCCTCTTCTGAGAATTCTGACTCGTCGTCGCAAATTGTGCGTTCGTCAATTTGATCATTAGATGAATCTTCATCATCACTATTAAACAAATATTTTTTAGCCTTTTTGGCCCTTTTGTTTCTGGTTGTGGTCTTCTTGCTTTTAACCTCTCTATCTGTGGTAAGTTTCGCTTTGTTACATTTACCTTCGGCACAATTTTCTTTATTATAGTCTTCTTTATTTTTTTTAGTCTTTTTCTCTTTTTCAGGGCTTTTTCTCTTCTTTTCTTCAAACACTGCTTTCATTGGTGTGCTTATTAAGATTTAAAAATGTTGTTTGTTCTTCAATCTTGTTTCTTTTCTTTATTTGCTGTGAGTTGTTGTGGCAGTGGGCTCACAATTTTTAGAATATCAACAATGTCAATTACTGTTTCATCGTCATTAGTATCGGTCTCATTAAAATATGATTTAGACGGAGTTGCGGTAGATCTGACGGTATGTTCCTCCCGAATAGCAGCTCGTGTTGGTGTTGGACATGTTATGTCCTCCTGAACTACTTCTGGTTGAATTTCTGCATCACAAAGAATAGATGGACTCATGGCAGGGCTAGCATTCGGTTGTTTATTAACTGTCTGCTTTGACGTAGATGAAGTCATCATTCCAAAGTATTTCAGGATTCATGGGATATATTTCCGTTGCTTGAAAGCCTGATACTCCTTTTTCTATGGAAGCTACCCTAGTGTTATGCTTTATTTAAAAGCCTGCAATATCGTATGGTGTGATTTTTATCAAATTTCTTGATTACATATAACCTGCTTTCTTTGTTGTAAGCTCTTTTAAGCGGATAATAAAACGCAACGTCAAGAGGTTGTAGAATGTGGCGGAATGCTAAGCATTGCAACATGGTTCTCTTTTGCCAAATCCCAAGCTTCGAGAGTAGCATGACTGTTGTGGTTGTGTAATATAAGCAAAACGGGAGTATCGGCAGTAGGTTTGGTGTATTTAATAAAATGACGTAGCAATAAAATAAATATAATTTCATCGGTCCAGCAATTATAACTACATGTGTAAGCAGCTCCGTGTGGTCCATCTTTTTCCAGCTGTGGTGAGTGACGTTTCCGCGGAAATATGAAAAGCGGTGGAATGAAACACCCTGAAGCACTCATAGCACACATAATTGTTACATTCTTACTTTTTTCCCATGACGTCACAGATCCAACGCGTTTTTGCCCTTTGGGAGCTATAATTTTTTCAGTCGCTTGGACGATCTTTATACCCGTCTCGTCTACATGGTAAATCATCGTAGGATCGAAGTGGTGTTGCGTCATCAATTTTTCCAAATTATCAAAAAAAGCTTTACTTCTGTTATTTTAAGTCCGAGACTTTTGTTGATACTAATAGCTTCGGCCTTTCTAATACTCAACTCAGGATGACGCTGTAAAAATCCAGACAGCCAATCTTTTCCGCAGTTTGACTGGCTTGGTCTCTCGTCATGCCATAAAATTTATTTCACATTACTGGATATCTTCCCAACTTAGGATTTTTTGTACCGATCGTCGTTAGCTTACGATAAATTAAATCTCTTCTTTAAGGTGCTGTAAGGTATGCCAGTTTGTATGAGATACTTTGTACACCGAAATGTCTCTTGCTCAGAGGATATTGATTGCATTTTCTGATGTATCAGCGGTTCAAGAAGCTTCCGTTTCCGAGTTGTTTAACGTGGCATCTGAAATAAAAAGAATAATATGTATGTAAAATGGTGTGAAAATATTTTTTAAAAGCTGATAGGGCAGTGGGAGCTATGTCGGGTATTGAAAGCCATCCTAGACTCCCATTTTGAAAGTATTAATATAAATAATTTAATTTTAATTTAATCGCAATTAAACAAATTGCACTAGTTAGTGAATCAATCTACGGATGTTATGAATAGAAACATAATAAAATAAGGATAAAACTTCATGTTTACCTTGATGCTGGCAACCCACAATTGTTTATGTTTTATTTAATTAGGTAACATAATTTGTAAGGTGAAATTGTACAAACTGATTTAACTTTTTTTTCATCCAAATCTATGGTATTTTAGTTTGAATTCAGGATATTTCATGGTGCTTAAAAATAAGCTTGGGCAAAAGATGTTTGACCAAGTTGGCCGGTGATGCGTCTATAAATATTTCTCAAAGTTTTAATGGCAAATGTACTGGGAAATACAGGATGTTCCTCAATGATATGCGAATATTTAAGGGTGTGAATCTACATGAAAAATTAACATTAGACTGCTTTATAAAATATGGTCCAAAAATGTTTCTTTACAAAAACTCGGGGTGTTGATGTTTTAGGAAAAAAATGGAAATTATTTAATATTTTCAGAACCGCTTCAGATATTTCACTGATATTTAGTACGTAATGAAAGTTAACAAAGTTGCATATTTTACAATGCAAAAATAATTTTTAGCTTTAACAGTGACGTGCGTACGGGTAATGACTTCGATATTATTCAAGAAAAAAATGGTACGGCAATGGTGTTTTGCTAAATAAAAATTATTTTTGAATTCCCCGTTCAATTTACAACAAATGATCTCTCTTGAATTGTTTTCTTTCGATGCGCCATTTTTGAGTAAAAAAATTGTTCTATTGTCCGAGAAAATTAATGTAATACCTAATTGAAGAATGCAATTTAGCAATATATATCTAGTTACTCTGGAATATGTCACTGGCTTTTGACATCTGACAAGACTCTGTTATTCAATATAATTATATAAAGCAAGGTAAGGTTAATTTTACATGTAGATCCACATCCTTAAATATTCGCATATCATTAAGGAACACCCTGTATATGATGGTGAAATATATAAATATGTACAAAGTTACTGTGGTTGGATGCGTATAAAGATACTGCCGCCAGAAATATGAGATACACCCTCCCCCACAACCCCCAACTTCTGGTATTCAACCCCCACAAAAATGTTTTTATGAATATTTCATCCAAATCCGAGCAGTTCTTTCCAAGTTATAGGCGGTCCAAAGATTAGCGAACAGGCCGGCACACAAACAGACCGACGGAAATGATACAAATGATTAGAATACTTTCGCGCCGGCAGGCTTGAGAAATAAAATGCTCAGCTTCCCTTACACTGCCCATAGAAGGCCTCTGTTCTTCAATGTATTGTTGGATTGTTAGGACAGCTGAGTCGCAAACCAAGTGGTTGACTGTCTCATCTTCCTGTTCGCAACCTCTACATAACGATGTTTCCTCAGCTGACAGTGTGCAGTCGCAAAGCTTGTGGCAAACCGGAGTTGTTATCAGGTAGTGTTTTGATACCTTCTCACTACGATAGCTGAGGAATTATTTAGCGAATGAGCAGCCCGACGTATCATCCCACATGTTCTTGAAGATGGATGAAATGCAGAGGGGCTCTGCGCCTAGAATTTTGGTGTCAGCAGCCCTTATTACCAATCTATTAGCTATGTATAATATAATAATAATATACTAAGTGACATAAATCCGAACACCCAGTTTAAATGGTTTTATTTTAATAAAAGTTGGTGATGTATTTATCTTACTGTAAATAACAAGTGAAAAAATTTTCAGGCTTATCAGTTGGATATTCCGGTTTTTATACTGCTTTTTTTTAATTCACTAACGCTCTAAAAATGAATATTTCAGCCGCAGTAAAGAATCAACGTTGGCGGATTTTGGTTCTTGACATCCTTTACGATCGGTTACGATGCCTAGAGTACGGAGACCTGTACGATTTCGTCAACTTAGTGAGTTTGATAGGGGCCGTATAGTGGGACTTCGGGAAGCTGGACTTTCTTTTCGGGCAATTGCAGTTAGAGTGCAAAGAAGTGTAGACACTGTGGTTAGGTGTTGTCAGGCATGGCTTCGAGAAGGCCGTACGCAAAGAGCAAGGGGCACTGGACGCCGCCGTAGAACAACAGACCGTGAAGATCGTCGCCTAAGATTATTGGCCTTAAGGGACCGTTTCTCCACTACCAGGTCCATTGCAAATGAATGGTTGAAGTTCTAGAACCCCATCTTTTACCCCATCTTGACACCCTGGCAGATCCAACTTTCCAACAAGATAATGCCCGACCACATGTTGCAAGAGTCACAATAGACTTCTTTCAACATAATGATGTCACATTGTTACCATGGCCACCAAGATCTCCCGACTTATCCCCAATTGAGCACGTGTGGGATATGATGGGTAGGAGATTGCTCAATTTGCAACGTCCTCCTCAGACTCTAGAAGCACTTCGAGAGGAGTTGGTGGTTGCCTGGAATGAGATACCACAGGAGGACATTGACCATCTGATCAGAAGCATGCCTAGGCGCGTTGGAGGATGCGTAGCACATCAGGGTGCATCCACACATTATTAAAGGTCAAAGGGCTTTAAAGCAGTGCAATCATTTTGAAATTTTTATCATTTACTTATTATGCTTCATTAAGTACTTATACAAAATTTTATTAAAATAAAACCATTTAAACTGGGTGTTCGGATTTATATGTCACTTAGTATAGTAAAAATAATAATGTCTTATCAGATAAAAATATAAACAAAACACTATACCACTAAGAACCTTAACAGAGTAGAAGAAAAAAATATTGTTTTTGGCTTCAGATTCAAACCTAGAAAGCTTATATTTTTTATAATATGACGGCAGACAGCTATACATTTTGCATATTTGGAAACTAAAAGAATGCCGGTCGAGTTCAGTGCGGAATATATGAGGTGTCAACAGACCTCTGGATCTTATGTGTATATTATGTACATAAGTCAAATAAGCAGGGAAACTCCAGCAAAATAATTCTATGAAAAGGCACAGCGAGTGTAAAGTTCTTCTACACTGAGTGACAAAAAAGCTAAACACCTACGTATGGTTATTATAATTCCAGAATTTTCTACATATCGATGTATCTTGACATGAACAACCAATTATAAAATTGTCAGGTTTTTCTTTTCAGTTTTTGTGGTGCATTGTTTGGTGATAAAATGAATCTGACACCGTTTGTACTTTTGTGTTCAAGTTTTATATGTACAAGACACACATTAATGGACCCAAAACAGAGCCTTGTGGTACACCAGACTTCAGAAGCAGACTATTAGAGTATTTATTATCCAGAAAGATACGTTGAGTTATGTATTTAAGGTATGCCTTGAAGCTCAGTGAGAGTTCATAGTTCATGGTGGATCAGGAGTTGGTCCTCTTCCAGCAACAAGGTTGCCTGCATCAGTATCAAAGACTCTACTAAAATCCAGCATTACTAATGCTGAAAAATGACCTTAGTCGGATGCTCTTAAAA